CACTGAATCAGCACAAGGTGCACAAAGATTACGCGGACACCACAAATCCATTCATGGAGGGAACTGCGACGACAGGGAAGAAAAGGGCCTGAATTGCGACTGTCTGAATGGCAGCGTGTCCTGGGGTGTACACAAATACATACATACATACATACATACATACATACATGCATACATACATACATACATTACATTACATTACATTACATTACAGTACAGTACAGTACAGTACAGTACAGTACAGTACAGTACATTACATTACATTACATTACATTACATTACATTACATTACATTACATTACTTTACATTGCATTACATTACATTACATTACATTACATTACATTACATTACATTACATTACATTACATTACATAACATAACATACATACATACATTCATACATACATACATACACACCTGCATGCATGCATGCATGCATGCATGCATGCATGCATGCATGCATACACACACATACATTCATACATACATATCTCTGTTTCTCTGTTCCTTCTCTCCTTCTCTTCCTCCTTCTCCGTTCCTTCTCTTTCTCCGGTCCTTTTCCTCCTTCTCCAAACACAATTCCTCCTCCTCCTCGCCCATCATCAATATCCCCGTTCTGCTTTCCGTTCCCTCCTCTCTGTAGCAATGCAAAACCAAGAATACACAGTGTTTGGCGCCTTCGGAGCAAGGAAGCGCTGTGTATGTTTGGTTTGTCTGGGTGTTTTGGTCCAGGATGCAAAAGAGTCACTGTGAATGTTTTGAAATGTTTGTTTCTCTGGGCTTGGGAAGCTCAAGTGCTCCCCCCGGCCTCCGCCCCAGCACCTCCTCCTTCTCCCCCCTTCCTCCTTCCCCCTCCTTCTCCTCCTTTCCTTTCCTCCTCCCTGTTGCAAAGCAAGGAAACAAAGAATACACAGTGTTTGGCGCCCTTGGTGCAAGGAAACGCTGTGTTTTGTTGGTTGTTTCTGGTTTTTTGGGTCCAGGATGCAAAGAAACATATTGTATGTTTGGATATGTTTGATTTTTTCGCTTGGGAAGCTCAAGTGCTCCCCGCGGCCTCCCCTCCAGCGCCTCCTCCTTCTCCCCCTTCCTCTTTCCCCCTCCCTCTCCTCCTTTCCTTTCCTCCTCCTTGCTGCAAAGCAAGAGCGCCAAGAATACACAGTGTTTGGCGGACTTGGTGCAAGGAAACGCTGTGTGTTTTGGGGGGGTTCGGATGCAAGGAAACACTGTATAATGTTGGTTATTTCGGTTTGTTTGGTTTTGGAAGCTCAAGTGCTCCCTGCTCCCCCTCCCCAGCACCTACTCCCTTCTGGAACTCCAAAACCCCCCATAAAATGTTCCTTTGCATCCTTGACCAAAAAGAAATGCACAGCGCTTCCTTGCACCAAGGGCGCCAAACACTGTGTATCCTTGGTTGGCTTGTTTTGCAACAAGGAGGAGGAAAGGAAAGGAGGAGAAGGAGGGGGAAAGAGGAAGGGGGAGAAGGAGGAGGTGCTGGGGCGGAGGCCGCGGGGAGCACTTGAGCTTCCAATACCAAAAAAATGTTCCTTTGTATCCTAAACCAAAAAAACAAACAACAAAAGTACACAGCGCTTCCTTGCTCCGAGGGCGCCAAACACTGTGTATGATTAGTTTTGCGTTGTTACAGAGAGGAGGAAGCGGAAAGGAGAAGGAGAAGAAGGATGATGGGCGAGGAGGAGGAGGAATTGTGTTTGGAGAACGAGGAAAGGGAAAGGAGAAAGAGAAGGAACGGAGAAAGAGAAAGAGAGGGAACGGGGAAGCAGAGAGAGTATGATCTTGGACGGGGGGCAGCCATAATATATATATATATATACACACACGTAGCACCCCGCAGATGCGGATAAGAGTGAGAGGGCGGTGGGGACGTCAGCAGTTTGCTAGACTCTGGAGAAGCCCGCCGCAGGCGCCAACGTTTCACCAATTATACAACGAACCCGCCGCAGACGTTGATTTTTTCGTTGAACCAATGTGGATAGGTCGCGGGTGGGTCGCGGGTGGGTCGCGGGGTGGGTCGCGGGTGGGTCGCGGGTAGGTCGCGGGCGGGTCGCTGCTGGGTCGCGGGTGGATCGCGGGTGTAGAGGGCAGAAAGTCCACCCCAAAATAATCACCCCGACAAGCGAAGCTGTTTAGTAAACGCATACAAGGAATGCAGGGCAGGGCTGTTTACTGAACGCCCAGGGCCGTCTTAGTAAAATTCAAGTGTCGGGCCCACGGGGATTCCGCTCCGCTGCACCTCCCGGAGGCCAGCGAGCAGCTCAAGCTGCGCAGCTGGCAGGCCCCCAAGAGGCAGGAGGCCGAAGGCCAGAGGGACGCTGGAGGGGAGAAGCAGGGAGAAGAGCGGGTGAGGAGGAGGGAGGAAGGAGGGGGGACGAGTACCCAGCACGGGGGAAGCCCAGGACAAACAATCGGGCAGCGAGGAGGGACTGGCACGGCGGGGGGGTGGAGCAGGAGGAGGCCTCGGGGCCAAGTCGCGCCAAGAGACGCGACGCTGTGGAGGCCCGTGGGGCACCTGCTGGCATGGCGCCCCCGCATGCCGCAGCCCCCGCACGCCCGAGCTCGACAACGGCGGGCGGCCCCCCGCTCCGTCGGCCATCGGGTCGGAGAACGGCACGCCCAGCTCGATCACGTCGGCGCCCTCCTTCTCCATCTCCAGCATGGCGGGCACGGTATCCGCCTGGGCCGGCGCCGCCGGGCTCCGCCCCCAGCCACCCGCGGGCGGTCCGACGCACACACGCACACACACACAACTCCGCCCTGCGCGTGCGAGCATCCTGCGGAATGCAGATCACGCAGCACAAACAGCAAACTGGCGAGACCACCGGCGCCGCGTGCGAGAAGAAAAAACGCCCCATACAGCACCAACGATGTCGCCGCATCTGGCACGAGGAATGTTCGACAAATCCACGTACAACTACCAAGACTCGTACAACTCGGGGGCCATCGCATAGTCTGCTCGACCATCCTCGGCTCGTCGCACGTCGCTGCTGCAAGACACGACTGGGATTCGTGAATACTCGGCTTGAGTTCTGTCCGAGAAGAGGCTAGAAACACGCGCGCGCGCCTCTCATGCTTAGGTCCTTCCTAATCAAAGACGATAGCATTACCATCATCCTGTTAGTACTCTGACTTGCGCTTCCACTCGTTATCTTACTATTCCTATCCCCTCTCCGGACTTACTCCCCTCCCCTTCTTACCACCTCATCCTGTTTCGCCTTGTGTTTCCCTCGGTGTCTGCTGCTCCCACGTTCCTCTCCTCTACTTCCCCCCTGTTCGCGCGAGCGCGTCGCCGCCGCTGTAGTAGTACGAAAAAGGAGTGCGAAGGAATGAGAAAAGAGGAGTAGTGGAACGGAGTGGAGTGAGGAGTGATGGAACGGAGTGGAGTGAGACAAAATGGGTGCGATCGGGGGGGAAATAGGGAGGAGTGAATTCGAACTGGCCCCAGGAGTTGTGAATTCAAGTGGGCCCCATGATTTGGGCGTTCAAGTGGGCCCGACGTGGTCACATCGGAGGCTCCCAGAACACAAGGAGTTGTGAACTCATGTGGTCCCAGGAAAGATGTGTGAATTCAAATGGACTCTCTGGGGAGCTATCCGAAACCCCGAGGGCGCAACGATGTATGAGTTCAAGTGGGCCCGAAAGGTTCGTAAGTTCAAATGGGCCCGACCATGTGTGGTTTCAAGTGGGCCCCCCATGGCCGTATCAGAGGCACCGAGAGCGCAGTAAATTATGAATACAAGGTGCAACGCCTTGTGAACTTCAGTGGACCTCACGCGTTTCCCTAAACAGCTTGCCTGTAAATATTGTGCGTGTGGCTCGACGGGCGGGGATGGCGTTGCCGACCTCGGGAATCCGTGACTTGATGGTCTCCCGCACGGTCTCCCGTATGATCTCCAGGGGGTAAGGGCGTTGCCTCCCGCACCGTCTCCCGTATGGTATCCTGCGTGGTCTCCCCGCATAGCCTCCCGTATGGTATCCCGTGTGGCGTCCCGTGTGGTCTCCCGTGCGGTCTCCCGTGTGGACTCCCGTGTGGTCACCCGTGTAGTCTCCCGCGTGGTCTCACGTAAGGCCTCCGTGAAGCATCCCGTATCGTCTCCCCATCTTGTCTCCCGCATGCGCTCCCGCATGCTGTCCCGTATGGTTTCCCGTACTGTCTCCCGTGTGGTACCGTGGTCTCCCGACTGGTCTGCCGCGCAGACTCCCGTGTGGCCTCCCGTGCAGTCTCCCGTGTGGTCTCACGCAAGTTCTCCCGTGTGGTCTCCCGGGGGTGCGGCGCTGCCGGCACCGAAACGGTACCTCCTGCTGGTCTCTGGTAGGGTCTCCCGTGGGGTCTCCCGTGCGGTCTCCCCTTATGGTCTCCCCTGTAGTGTCTCGTGTGGTATCCCGCACTGTCTCCCGTAATGGTACACCCTGCGAAATGCTGAAGAAATCATGGGTTCAGAAATTCATAGTCTCAGAACGTGAATAAAAACCCAGAATTTCTATTCAAATCTTAGGATTTACATTGAAACATTAAGAATAATCGAGACTCTGGCCGAAAATTTAAGTTTTCTTAAGCATCGCCTAAGGTGTACTCCGTATCGTATCTGGCATGGCCTATCGCACGATCCTCCGTGCGATCTCCCGTGTGGTGTCCCGCGTGGTCTCCCGTGTCTCCCGTGTGGTCGCCCGCATGATCTCCCGCATAGTCTGCCGCACGGTCTCCTCCCTCCTCCCTCCTCCCTCCTCCCTCCTCCCTCCTCCCGCCTCCCTCCTCCCTCCTCCCTCCTCCCTCCTCCCTCCTCCCTCCTCCCTCCTCCCTCCTCCCTCCTCCCTCCTCCCTCATCCCTCATCCCTCCTCCTGTCCCGTATGCTATCCCGCACGGTATCCTGTGCGTTCGCATGTAAAAGACCGCGTACCTGTCAACTTCCTACTTCTTAAAACTGGAAGATGATGTTTGGGGCCTTCTGCAGCCAGGATGTACTGTGACTTTTGATTGGGAAGCAGGACTCCAGTGGGTCTCTCTGTTGAGTTCTGTGGGATGTCTTGGCGCTCCCTGAGGGGCGTCTTCGGGGTTGGGGGAGCTCTTCAAAATCACTTGCGGGCTTGGGGGGGGGGGCGTTTGGGGTGACCTCCCAAGGATCATAGGGCATGTTGGTCTCTCGTGGAGCTGCCCCAGATCCCTCAAGTTGGACGGTTTGGCCTTATCGGAGACACTGCGGAGAAGCTTCCTGGCTAACTCTGGCCATTTTGAGGCCGACTCGGAGCCTCGAGGGCGCATGCTGGCGGGGCTGCCTTGGGAGCATTTCTGGACCGTTTGGGGCTGGGGGGTCGTCGTGTGGTCTTTCGGGCTCGTCCTGTGGGCTTTGAGGCTCCTCGGGCGCTTGGCTCGAGCCCGAGCGCCCAGTGCGCAGCCCGCGGCCACCTGAGCGGCGGGCGCGCGCGATCGCGGAGACGAAGAGGCACCGCTCCCGGTCTCCAGCCTGGCACGGGCGAGCGCGGAGGACGAGGGCCTCGGCGCGCAGGCTGCTGCCCCTGGCAAGGGCGAAGGAGATCCCGCAGGAGCACCACGGGAGCAGGCCGCCGAAGAGCCGACAGAACGGCAACGACGCGTTCACGCGCTGCTCTAGGTGGGAGTGCCAGGGCTGGATCCAAGGCAAGGCTTGGAAGGAAGGCCTCCAGCGCAGATAATGCAAGGCCACCTTCAAGAAGCCGCTGTCCCTCAAGAGCCAGCAAGACAACGGCCAGCAGGGCTACGACAGCGGCTACGGCAAGAAGCAGCGAGGCGGCCAGAAGGCGGAGACCGAGGAACTCCCCCCGGCGCTGGTGCTGATCGCGGAGAAGATGGGCGGCATGCAGCTGGCGGACGGCGTGCAGCTCAGCAGCCAGCTCAAAGGCTTCGCGGCCAGAAACGAGGCGCAGGCCGACCCGCCGAAGGTGAAGACTCGACCTGAGAGGCTAGGCGAAGCTGCGGAGGCCCTGCGAAACGCAAACAAGCAGTTCACGACGGTCGCCGTGCAGGTGAAGAAGCAGAGGGCGATGCTGCAGGAGTGGGAGAAGAAGATTGAGGAGAAGGCTACGGGGGTCGCGAAGCAGGAGGCGCTGCTCGAGAAGATCTACGGTGAGGGGGAGAACCAGCCGCAGAGCTTCGTGCAGCAGCTGATCTCCAGGACCCCCGAGCAGTTGGCGCTCGACGGCGTCATCGACCTTGAGAAGGAGATGGAGCTGGACGACGAAGAGGTCGACGAGGCAGCCAAGCAGGCGGTCCCGGAGGCCAAGATGCAGGTGCTGGAGGACTTGCAAGAAGGCGCGAGAAGCTATACCACCAAACTCCAGGAGCACATCAGCAAGGCGAAGGAGCTAGCGGCGAAGAGCAAGGAGGCGATCAGGCAGGATGTAAAGAAGAGGATGATCGACGCGAACGAGGTGAAGGAGGCAGCGCACCCACCATCCTCAGCGGCAGCACCGGCATCAGCGGCAAGCGCAGGCGGTGGCAAGACTGATGACAGAAAGCCCGCAGAAAAAAAGAAGGACGTAGGGGCTGCTGCATGATGAAGGACTGGACGGCGATGACGCGGCACCTCAAGAGCTACTCTCTTGTCCTCATCTCCGTCTACTTTAAGGTGCCACCAGCAGCTGAAGGAAGGAGCTCATGCAGGGAGGATGGCAGAGATGGCGAGGCTCACCGGGACGTGACGCACGCCATGGCCAGTCGCGGGGGACTTCAACCCACACACACACACACACACACACACACACATCCAGGGTCGCGATCGCAGACCTGCTGCGACTTGCTCGGTGACGCGCGCATCTCCACACTGCCTGGGGGGCATGCCGACCTGCTGCCGTAAGGCCGACGCGGAGCCCTCCCTCATTGAGGCTTCGCTCTCGCGAGCCCCGGGGCCTGCAGGCACAGCGTCGACCTCGGGCCCGCCGCAGACGTCGGCCGAAGGCCGCGACTTGTTCGGGAAGCTGCGCATCAAGGCAAAGATCGAGCATAGCTCCACCAGGAAGCTGGAGTTGCCGAGGGCCTGCTGCCGCGAGAGCAGGAGCGAGCCCCGCGAGATGCAGAGGCACCGCCATGGCAACAACAACAACAACCAGAGCCACAGCATGAATACGAGAGATTGACCCGTGCACGATGGGAGGCGATCTCCCCAACTGGCTGGGCGTCGTTCCCTCTCCTTCCCGACGGGGAGATCAGCGATGACATGCTCAAAAAAATAGGGAGCATACCACGGGGTGCCAGGAGAACGTAATGAGCAAAGACCCGCGTTGCAGATCGAAAGCGCAGGTCGGAACAGCAGGCGGGAGAAGCACATTGTGGAGGCAATAGGACAGGCCATGAACACCGAAGGCATGCAGCGAATCACCACCGACACGTACAACCCTCTGGGGAACATGATCGAGGAGAGTGAGGAGGACTGGATGCTCAAACATGGGCTTCAAGAAGAACTACCACCAGAGCTCCAAACCGCAGGAGTTGAACTATTAGGGGGCACTGAAGCGGGCAACCCTGGGCCAACCGCTACAGTGACCCCTCTAACTACTTCGGTAACAGGCCCAGAGTTCGTGCCAGGGACTGAGGCAGCTGGTCAGGTGCAAAGGTCGGATGGTTGACACGACATCGTGGCAGACGACAGCGAGCTCGAGCCAGAGCCCGCCTGCCACGACAACGGCGACATGAGGACCACGGCAGACACCAACGGCATGCCAGCCACGACCCCCTGAGCCCACCGGTTACATCACTGACTCGGCGACCTACGAGGCTACGGAGGAGGAGGCCAGGGAGCTAGGGGAGCAGTACCACCACCTGACCACCGCAATGGAGGACTTCTACTGCCAGGCGTAAGAGATCCCGAAGTGCGACCAGAAGAGGTACAAGGGCAGAGGAGGAGCTTACGAATGCATAGAGGGCGCACACCGGGAATCGGGACAGCATAGGGTAAACGTCAACATGAAGAAGACCGACTCGTGGAGTAGACGCTCGACACGTACGCGTAGCTAGCAATGAATGATAGGGCACCACAACAGCGAGAGCAACTAGCAGCCAGCTGCAGGAGACTCGCGCTATAAGGAGTACCATCCGCAGGGAGACAAGCTTCAAGAACGGCAAGACTACACAGGAAGATCTGCGGACAAAGAATTCAGGAGATCGAGACGATAGACTTGTGCTGGACGGCACTGTGTAGCAGGCGAAGCTGGAAAGCCAAATCTCGTTGAAGGCAGTCCTACGACGCGGAGCTGGAGAGTACGAAATGTGGGTAGATAACGCGTAGACCAACGCACCAGGAGCGCTGCACAAGACCTGGGGACAATGAATCAAGGAGATCGCGAAGATAGCCTTAGACGTGTTGGACGGCATGGCAAAGCAAGCGAAGCTGAAAAGCCAAGTCTCGCTAAAGGCAGGCCTACGACGCGGAGCTCGAGGGTACGCAGTGCGTGCAGCCGACGCGCAGGCCAACGCACCAGGAGCGCTGCACAAGACCACCAGGCCGAGGAGGAGGCACGCGGACGAACACGCGAGCAAGGGCGTGAAGGCGACCAGCACGACCCCAAGAAACAGTTCCAGGCGTGGTTCGACCTCTGGGCGGCAAGGGAGGACATACGAGGAAGAGTTCACCGAGCGTGGCCACGTATTCGAGAGCGACTTCTACAAGCACCGCGTACGACAAGATGGAGCCAGCGAAGAGGAGCGATAGCATCCCTCATCCTGCAGCTCTGGGAGATCGGCTGGGATGCCCCGACGGCGGCCGGACTTCTGGACGGACGCTGAGGGAGGGGGATGGCAGCTCCAACCCGACGACCGTAATGACGACCCCACAGACCTGCTGGACGCGATCACCGAAGACCTGAAGATGAAGGCGCGGCAAAGGGCCAGCCTGCACCGCAACGGGGCTGAACTACAACACGGAGCGGACACGTATGACTTGAAGATGCACCTGAGGAGGCTCAAGAGCCCTTCTTACCGCTGCATGTGCAATAGAATGGTCACCACAGAGACGGAAGGAAACGATCGGAGACGACGCCAGCGACTAGTGCCAGTGCGGGGAAATCGCGGACGACTTCCACATCATATGGAGCCATTGCAACTGCAGAAGTGACCACAGCATCTACGGGAAGACCGAAAACTTAGTGCACAGAGCCGAGCAGGGAAAAGAAGAATGGGCGGCGTTCTGGCTGAGAGAAATTACGCCAGGAGCCTGGACAACACCACCCCAATCACTACAGAATGCACAGCCAAGAAGAAGGGCAAGGCTGAGCACATCGACATCGAGAACAAAGGCCAGAAGCCCACGGCAAACAGGGACCAGGAGCTAATCATCTGCGGAGATGGAAGTGGAGGTACACGTGGCGACGATGCGAGATACAGGCGATGTGGTTGGGGCTGGGTGCTGATGGAGAGGGTCGATGGACAGTGGACACCTACCGCAGAATGCTCAGGGCCCTTACCAAGGGAGCGGCAGTCCGACAACAGGGCGCAAATAACGGCGCTCCTAGACAGCCAGGAGTCGACCACGGGTAACATCACCTTCTACACGGACTCGGAGATCCTCTGCAAGGGCTGGAACAACAAGAGGTACCTCACAAAGTGCTACAAGAAGGGCCACGGCGACCTTTGGAAGCGTATCGGAAGGGCGCTGGACAACAGAGGAGACGCTACCATCAGAGTGTTGCAGATCGAGAGCCACGTGAGCATAGATGAGGCGAGAAGAAGAGGCATGGAGATGGCTGCTTAGCACGGCAACCAGAGAGCTGATGAGATCGCGGGGAAGGCGGCGAAGACACACGAGATCTCGGAGGCGCAGATGGGCTACTACCACTGGGCTAGAGCCGCGGCGCAGCGGGTGACAGCGAGGATTGCACAGTCGACCCGGGAGCTGTTCGAGAAGGTGAGGCCCGTGACCTGGGAAGAGAAGGAGGAAGCGAAGAGGCAAAGATCGAGAAAGAGGAAGCTAGAGGACAACTTCGAGGACCTACCTGGTCAAGTACACGCCGCACCA